ACCCAGACCACAAGGAGACCTCGCCATCCCTTGGGGGCTGCGATCTGCGAAGCTGTCGCCACTTTCGAGGGCTGCTGGGGGGTCCAGCGGAGCGACGTCTTACCCAGACCACCAGGATACCTCGCCATCCCTGTGGGTCTGCGATCTGCGAAGTTGTCGCCATTTTCGAGGGCTGCTTGGGGGTCCAGCGGAGCGACGTCTTACCCAGACCACAAGGAGACCTCGCCATCCCTTGGGGGCTGCGATCTGCGAAGCTGTCGCCACTTTCGAGGGCTCCTGGGGGGTCCAGCGGAGTGACGTCTTACCCAGACCACAAGGAGACTTCGCCATCCCTGTGTGGCTGCGATCTGCGAAGCTGTCGCCACTTTTGAGGGCTGCTGGGGGGTCCAGCGGAGTGACGTCTTACCCAGACCACAAGGAGACCTCGCCATCCCTTGGGGGCTGCGATCTGCGAAGCTGTCAACACTTTCGAGGGCTTTTGAGGGTCCATCGGAGTGACGTCTTACCCAGACCACCAGGAGACCTCGCCATCCTTGTGTGGCTGCAATCTGCGAAGCTGTCGCCACTTTCGAGGGTTGCTGAGGGGTCCAGCGGAGTGACGTCTTACCCAGACCACATGGAGACCTCGCCATCCCTTGGGGGCTGCGATCTGCGAAGTTGTCGCCACTTCGAGGTCTGCTGGGTGGTCCAGCGGAGTGACGCCTTACCCAGACAACCAGGAGACCTCCCCATCCCTGTGGGGCTGCGATCTGCGAAGCTGTCGCCACTTTTGAGAGCTGCTGTGGGGTCCAGCGGAGGGGCGCCTTACCCAGACCACCAGAATACCTCGCCATCCCTGTGGGGCTGCGATCTGCGAAGCTGTCGCCACTTTTGAGGGCTACTGTCGGGCCCAGCGGAGTGACGCCTTATTCAGATTCAGATGCGACCTTGCCATTTTGAGGGGCCCAGAGGCGGCGGAGGAGGAAAAGCGGAGGAGGGGGAGGAGGATGAGATGGAGGACGAGGAGGAGAAGGAGGAGGTGGAAGAGGAGGAAGGGGAAGACGAGGTGGAGGAGGAGGAGGAGGAGGAAGAACGGCGGGAGGAGGTCCGGCACGTGCTGCCGCGGCAGCGCTTGCGCGCTTCTTGCACTAACCATAAGCAGGTTTAATAATTTGTTCGAGCGCCGCGGCGACATGGCGCAGGCAGCGCTGCATCTTTAGCGTACGACCGACAAAAGCAACACTCTTCGGTCTCCTCCCGTCACTATCGTCGTGGTCCCCTGCCCCCTGCCACCTTCCCTCTGCTGCTGCCGCGCTGACGATATGGCCCCCCACGCGTCTTTCTCTTGCCCTTCGTTCCCTCCCACATGTCCTCAAGCCTGGGCCCTCGCTCCTTGTCGTTCTGTTGTTGGCTTGTGAATCGTGCCACGTGAGCGCATTCCATGTAGCTTGCACACTGTCATTATTCTGGCAAGTTTGGGCCACCTCCTCTTGTCACTTGATGCAAATGGTTTAACACGTCACAGGTTACTGGGCACGCGTGGGGAAACGGGCGAGAAACCGAGTACACAGACGGAGGGCATCTGTCAAAACACCCGACAAATGATTATCGAATGGCCTTCGGCACGTCCCGCTAACCTGCCTGGGTTGCGGGTCTGAGGCCACTAGGATGGTTGATGGGTTCTCACGGGGGGCGTCTTTTTGAACCTCTTGGGGCCTCCTGTGGGCCTGTTAGGGGCTTGTTGCGGCCATCTTGGGGCTCCCTAGGGGCCTGTTGGGAGCTCCTTGGGGCAACCCAGAGGCGTCTCGGGGTGGATGACTCGAAATGTCAGCTCGGGTTCCCTATTCTGGGCCCCTTTTGGGGCTGGCTGTCTTGGGGCCCTCCTGGGCCGTCTTGGGGGTTTCTTGGGCCGTCGTGGGGCCTTTTTGGGTCGTCTTGGAGCCCTCTTGGGGGCCTCTTGGCCGGTCTTGGGGCGATCTTCATGGCTTCTCGGGCCGTTTGTGACGTTTTTGAATGTCCAAAAGCGAATGTGCTACAAATGCACGTCTTCCCCGAGAGTGGGACGGTTTTTGCTTCTGGATGCCCTCTTGGGGCGCCTCTTGGGATCTCCTTGGGGCGTCTTGAGGGTCTCTTGGGCTTTCGGGGGGCCACCATGGGCGTTTGGGATAGATCCTTCGGCGATTCGTAGCATTTGTGGACCGCCCAAATGGCCTTTTGGGGCCCTCTTGACCTGTTTTGGTGCCCTCTGCCCCCCCTGGCGCGTTCACCCACCTCCCTGGGGACCCCCCCCTCCAAATCGACCGGACCCAGTTCCCGGTGGAGGTGTTTGGGGAGGGAGAATGATTTCACACGCCGATGAACCCCAGAGGGTTGGCGGATGTCATGAGGTTTTGATGCGCAACCGTCAGGCAGAGTTTTGTAAACGAGCCCTTTGGAATGCAGGCTCGCAGGTGAAGCTTGAGAAGGGGAGTCGCAGACTTAGGCCCATCTCGAGTTTGTTTCTACATGTACCTGACATGCCGCCAGCGCTCGTAAACAGACCCTTGACGCAGAGAGCCTTGCAAGCAATCTCCACCATGTGAAAACACTTGGACAAGCTGATGCAAAGCTGCGCGCATGAACACTTCAGGGTAGGATCATGTGTGGGCTTGTCGACACGAGCCCTTACACTTTCGAATGTGGTGGGACAGCGGACAATACGTTCACTTTTTCGACTGGTAACAGCGGATGGCTGACGATTGTGTTCCTCGTGGCGTGTGTGTATATGTGTGTGTGTGCGGGGACTCCTGCAATGTAGGCTCTCGCTTCCCGCGGCAAGGCACTGTACGAGTGCGTCACCATGCCGTCGTGGACACAAGTGTGCGGACTACCGTCCCTGGGTCCGCGTTGGATAGTCGCGCGGCGGCCGCGGGGTGAAGAGTGTATGCGTGCACGTGTGCGCAGTGTGGTTCCCTATAGGTGAGCCCTGCATTTCCCCGCCCCGCGGCTGCGTAAGAGCCCAGCACCCTCCTCCTTCTCCGCGTGCCGGGCTCTGCTGCGACGTTGCGCGCGCGGCCGCGACGCCAAAACAGCGTGTGCGTTTGCGTGTGTGCGTGCTTCGCACGGAAGTTTCTTTGTGGTCAACGCGTTCTGTTACCATGCATTTGTCGTTTGGATTCAGCCGCGCGTCGGAGGAATATACACGTGTTTCTGCCAAGGTGGTTGGGCAATTGCATGAAGTTAGTTCAGTTGCAGGAAATGCTGCTGTCAAGGCGCAGATTCACGTGTAGCGTCCTGCTCGCATTTGTCAGCGGCAGCCCTGTCCAAGTTGTCAAACCGACCGACGGTCGCTACAAAGCCGCGAGTGTTAACGCACTCGCCTCTCCAGGAACTCCAAGGTCTTTTGTTCACCTTTTCGGGTCTGGTCTGGACGTCCTCGTGGGGGCGGGGACAATCGGGAGGAAGTTCCCGAACCCTTATGGTAGATGGTCAGGTCGTCGCGCGTACTTTCGAAGCCGTTTTGAGAGTCTCGGACCGCCTTTGTTTTTGTTCGTGTCCGGTCTTAGGCAGTCGTTGGCCTGACCTGGTTATTGTCTTGGGTTGCCAGGAGGCGGTCAGGGGATGAATATCGATTCATGTTCCCTCCCTATTCCTTGGATCCGCAGCGAAGCGGGCCGCTTTGCTTTGATCCGTGGATTTGGGTTTTGTTTCGGGAAGAATGTTGCCAGATGGTCAGTTGTAGGCCCTAACTACTGCTCCGAAGGGGGCCAAACGTTATCAGAAACTGGGCCATGCCCACGGCTTCAAAGTAGTGGGCCACGTTCGTTCGCGTCTGCCACTGTGCCACTGTCGGGGCGGGCTTGGGTTGTTTCGCATATAAGAAATGTTCTGCACGTTTCTCCAGAGCTGACGGACACAGATGACTCCATTGTGTTATTGGTGATTCCGTCGGGGGTGGCTAAACAACGCTTGACTCGTAAAACACACTACCCTTTTGATCGGGCAGGCAAGCCCAGTCCAAGGGCCCACACGTTTAGCACAAACCTGCATTGTATCGACGCGCGGTGGACAAAGCAGCCTACCATAGAGAGGTTGACATCAGCCGTGCCTTTTGGGCATGAAGCAACGAGTGTGGACTCACCAAGTGGCAGCCATGTCATTGTTGCCGATTGTGTATGGCGATGCTTGTGCAATGGGTGATTCGGTGGCGATGGTATGCTGGTCAGGTACGTTCAAGCGGTGGGGGGGGACGTTTTGACGGACTAGCGTGGTGATGGGCCAGCACGGTGGTGCGACGGCGAAAAGGTATGATGGCTTCATTGCCTCATAGATGTTAGCCCGTCAGCCGCCACTATGGTTTGTGGTGGTGTGAGTGCGCCAGAATGTTTGAACACTGTTTGTTGTGCGGTTTGGTGTCTAATGACGTCTTTTGTTGGTGAGGTGGCGTGTCTATTTGTTAGATGTTGGCGCGCTTGGAATCCTTGCAGAAACACTATCACTATTGCGTAGTATGATTGCGTGGTGGCGCTGCGTCGTAGTGACATGGCCAGCGAGGTCGGCTTAGTGTCTTATTTATGCGGTGGCACCATCAGCCAGTGAAATATGATTGTGTCCAACTGTGTGTACACACTATACTGAATTTCCACGGTTTTCTTACATGACGGCGAGAGATGCCGGCGAGATTGCACCGTGAGTATGCAGTGTTGGCGAGCGGGGGGCACCGCAAATGTCTAGCGTAACATTCGACGGTTGTCTGCTAGCACCGACTGTTGATTGGGCGTGCCAGTATCCCATATGGTTTAAGCGCCTTACTATTTAGTATGTCTAACAAGTTTTGCCGAAAGGCATGTAAAGATTCGGAGATGCTGTGGCGCAGTGGGAACAGGGTATGGCCTGAGCGTTGGTTTGGTTCTGGTGCGGTGAAAACTATGCGATGTCGATGCATGGGCGCCACGGCGCGTATGTCCGATGATGTCAATGCGTGAGCAGAAAGGTGGGTGTTATGTCTGTGATTTCGATGGCTTGACCTTGTGATGTCAGAGGATGTGAGCGCCGCCGAAGTGGTTGCCTCTCCACTTGTGGGCTCGGACAAGTCCGGGCTCTTGCAGTGCATGCAGAAGTTGGCGCTATCTTCAATGTTGCGGTGCGGACGCGGGCGGGTGCTTCCCAGCTGCTCATGTGTAATATCGCAGGCGGGCGCTGAGCAAAGACAGGCGAGGGGATGACCGCAGTCAGAAATGTAGTATCGACGCTCAAAGGCAACACTGTAAGGACCGATGGCGAGGTGTTTGCTGTTTTTGCTGGTCTTGTCGTGCCGTGGCTCTTGTCTTGTCGTTTCGCTCTGGGGCGGAGGTCGCGTTCGGTCGTGCGTTGTTCCTTTTGTTATGGTTTGCCAAAGCCTTTCCCAAGCTTCGTTGTCCAAACCTTACCGAAACCTTCACGGAAACATTATTCCGCCTCGTCCAGGTTTCGCTCTGGTTTCGCAAAATTGTTTTTTCGATGTTCTGCCATGCGACGCACTGAGTTGCGATTGTTTGCTTTGTTTGTTCTTGCCGCTGTGAACATTGTATTGTTGAGTTTCGTTTATGAAGCAATGGTTTCGACGGTGGGTCTATTTTGCCTTGTCTCGTGGTTTGTCTTGTTGTTGCTTGTCCGGATACTCTGTGCTTGCATTGTCTTGCTTTTCTTCGCACGATGTTATGCAGTAGCGTGTTTTGTTTTCCTTCGCCCGGGCTTCTCGCGTTCATTGGTGTCGGTTTGTGGAACAGATCCAAAGTTGCTGTCGAGCAGGGTCCGAGAAGCAGCCGCTCAACATTAGCCCAACAAAACTATCAATTCACGAGCATCTGCCGAGCAGCCACCGGGCCAGCGCCCTGCAACCGTGGAGCATGGCCTGGGCAAGGCCGAACAGCTTCCGACCACGCCATGCAGCCACTGTACCAAGCGAGCGTCGCTCGACCACACTCCGAGGCGGGAGTCTATCCATACCCACCGCCTGGAGGGTCAGTTTTCGGAGCCTCGGCAGGCGGTCGATATGGACATCTTCGGGCCCCCGGGGGCCGAAATATGTACATATCCACCGCCCGCTGGGGCACCAGGACGTCCGTTCCCAGGCGGTGGATGTGGATAAATCCCCGCCTCGCACGCCCTGCGTGCGCCAGGCAGCCGCCAAGCGAGCGCGTGGCCGCCGTTTTGCAGCGGCTGAGCCTCCACCGACTGTCCATCGCTCAGCTGCTGGGCAACCGCCGTCGACAGTCCAATGCTAAGCCGCGGCCGATCTGCCCACGCGTTGGGTGGGGCTGGAGCGCGGTTGCGCCAGGCTCTCGCATGCATTCAAGACCTGGAGATCGGTTTTGCCTGGAGGCTGTTTTTTTTGTCCGGAGATCGACGTGGTGTAAGCACGTGAAGCACGGCAGCGTATCATTCTCGCATGTGTCTGCGTAGTTAACACGCATTCTTATTATCGTTGCGTTGGCCCCTCTGCTGGAAAGACACAGCTCCCCCGCAAAAGGGTATATAACGAGTTTGTTTAGGTAAGCGTGAGGACGTGCACAGTTGTTCGATGTGTGCTATGCGCTTTGTGGAACTGCTTTTCGGAGATGGTGAGGTTCAGAGGATGATTGGGCTAGTAGGAGAATTCATAAATTCTGGCCAGGAATCCCTAATGCTCTCCCTGACGATCCATGTTGTATAAAGTAACATGCTCGTTGGTCATGCCCTGTGAATCCCACGATCTGGTCATGCTTCCATCCCCGAGTCGTCAACCTGCAGACCGTGCATGACAAATTTGATGTTATGGATAATTGTATCATCATCTGATGGAATTGTTATGGTTTTTTGGGGTTTGTGTGGTTCTAACGTCGCAATTAACGTGACGATGGCTCCAACTAGTGCCACTACTCAACTGAGTCATGGGACGCTTGACCATGTCTACTGTACCCAATAGTTGTCAAATAAGCGTGTTTCAAAACACATTCTCGCACGCACGCACGCAAAGCCTAATCATATTCAGCGGCGCTCAAATGCAATCAAACACATCTAGACGCTTCGCGTAACCCCACCAGCACATCGTCATGCGCCCCGGACGTTGTGCTCGCTCCCTGTCATCCGCCTTGGAGCCGCGAACCAAAAAAGTAACCCCACCAGCCGCGAAGTGTGTCTCTCTTTCGTTTCGCTTTCGTTGCGTAGTCCTCGCCACCGTTGTGGCCTTTTTCCGCGTTCTGCCTGTGTCTGGCTTGCGCTTTCACGACCTGTTTGACGGCGCGCGACTGTCCGCGTCGCTCGCGACTCGCGAGCAAAACAAAGTAACCCCACCAGTCCATCCAGAAACGATGCCCAGAGGAACTGCCTCGATCAGGGAAGTGGTCAGCACACAGAGGAATAGCCCCAAAGTGGAGGCCTCTTGGAGCGTCTTGGGGGCCTCTTGGCGGTCCCAGGCGCCTCTTAGAGCGCGTCCTGGGTGCCTCGGAGAGCTTCTTGGCGCCTCTCGGGGGTGTCTTGGGAGCCTCTTGGAGGCCCCTTGGGCGCCTGCTGGGGCCTCCTTGGGCCTCTTGGGCGCCTCTTGGGGCCCGCTTGAAGCGCCCTTGGGAGCCTTGGGAGCGCTCTTGGGGCCATCTTGGAGGACATCGATCAAACAAGAGGGGAGCGTTATTTAACGTTACCCCTCGGGTGCCCAAACAGTCGCCTCTTGGGGCGCTCTTGGAGCGCTCTTGGGCGCGCTTGGGCAGCTTGGCGCCGTCTTGGGCCTCTCTTGAGCCTCTCTTGAGGCTCCCTTGGGCCATCGTGGAGCCATCTTGAGGTTGGCCATCGGAAGCGAAAAGGCGAGAAAGCCAAACACATTGATTTGCCTAAGGTGTTGGCAGGATGTTGGCCTCTTCGGGGTCTCCTGGGGGAGCTCTTTGGCCACTTGGAGCCGCCTTGGAGCGGTCTTGGGGCATCTTGGAGCATCGTGGGAGCCATTTTGAGGCACCCTGGGATATCGTGAGCCATCTTGGAGGTCATCTTGGGCTCTCCCAGGCGCTCCTGGAGTCTTCTTGATCAGTGCCTCCCACCCGGGGGAGGCCAAACTGCGCCCAAAACCTTAGTACAACCAATGAGTTTGACATTCTCGCCGAGGCCTCGTCTTGGGTGCCTTTGGGGGGCCTCTTGGGAGCCTTTTGGGGGCATCCTGGGAGCCTCATGGGGCCGCCTGGCTACTTCTTGGGGCCTTTTTGGGGCACCCTTGAGAGCCTTGGGTGCGCTCTTGGGGCCATCCCGGAGGAGATCGATCGAAGAAGGGGGGGTCCTTAATTAGGGTCCCCCTCCAGGAGTTCAAAATGGGACCAGCACCTTAGTAGAACCAGTGAGTTTGGCTTCCTCGCCGAGGCCGTGTTGGACGTTCCAACTACCCGCGGAACCCCCCGTCCAGGTCCAGGGGAGGGGGTAAGGGGAGGGGTCAAGATTTCCCTCCCCGCCCGCAAGCCGTCTCGCTCACTCTCACCCGCCCTCCCAACACATATCTAGCACCCGAGCTTGGCCCGAGCCACAGCATATTCAGCAGTCGTCTTTGGATGGGTAGCTACTGGGGGCGAATCCGCCGCCGCCGCCTCCGCCGCCGCCGCCCGCCGCCGCCACCGCGCCGCCGCCGCCCCCGCCGCCGCCACCGCCGCCGCCGCCGCAGCCGCCGCAGCCGCTGCCCCAGCCGCAGCCGCCGCAGCCGCCGCCGCCAAATGTACTCTGCATTGTTTGTTGATAGAGATGGTGGGGGGAGGGCGCATCGGGTTCGCTGCGCATGCTCCGAATTTGGAGGCAGAGTGCGTTTTGTATTGTTTACAAGGGCTGGTGCGGGGGGGGGGGGCATCATTGTCCCTGGTTGGCTCCCAGTCGCCTGGGGGAGGGGGTGTATACGAATAGGGAACAGTGATAACCCCCCCCCGAAGGAGAAGACGGAGGGGTGGAAGAGGAAACGCCCTAAACTACCTGCGCCCTAAATGGCTAGTGGGATTCATGCGTGGTGCTAGTGGTGCAAAGTCGCAGGATGGGGTTGCCCTTACTATTATCGTAACGACGGCTAGGCAGCCCGAGTATCTACATTGTCATATATGTACCCATTGCGCTAAGTTTGTGCCATGTATTACAAAGGCCTTCTGGCCGTTGTCTCCGGCCCTGGGAAGTGAACAGTTTGGGCGCAAGTGGTGGATAGGGGGGCAGGCAAGTGGCAATGGCGGCTTTCATGCGATGGCGAAGATATAGTCCTCGGCCCATCCCTCCACCGCGCCTGGGTCGTTTTCCAGAGGCCTTGGGTACATGTTGGGGGATCTTGGGACATTCGGGGGCTTCTTGGGGGGCTCCCGGGGGCTCTGTGGCCCAGTTGGTGCGTTTTGGGAGTCTTGGGGTCATGTTGAAGGGATTGATTTCCAGCGGTGGGACAGAGGCATGCTTTTGGGCGTCGTCTTAAGGGCCTCTTGGGCCTTCTTGGGCATGTTTTGGGGGGCTCGTGGGCCGTCTTGAACGCTCTTGCGACCGATGCGGCGAGAATGTTCAGAACACAAGAACCTACGGGATTCAACCGATTTGGGCCTCTTCGGCCGGACCCCGGGACAGACCGCGGGACTCCCAAAAGTGCCGAAGTTGGCCCCGAGAGGGTTCTCGCAGGCCTAAGTGGGCCAAGAATCACTCCAAGGAGGGTGACTGCAGAAATGCGCACTCCCTCCAGAACCCCCACCTTTGCGCCGCCACCTCCCATGAGCCCCCGACCCCCACCCCCGCGGGGAAGGGATCGAAGGGATGGGTTTTCTTTTCGAGCCGATTGCGGCTAGGGTCGATTTCTTTCGGGGTTTCGAATTCGAAGAGCCCCACAGGGCCGTAGGGAAAAGGGAGAGAGTTTTGACTGGAAAAGCGTCTCCATGGACCACCTTCGGACGACCATCCGCGGATCCCATTCACACGCACACAGACACACACACACACACACACATGCACGCACGCACGCACGCACGCACGCACGCACGCACGCACGCACGCACGCACGCACGCACGCACGCACGCACACACACACACACACACACACA